TTTTCTTAGCGAAAATTTTTTTATTGGTTTCAAATAAGAGCGAAATTTTTTTGCCTGGCATTGCTAGTCCCATAGTAAGAAATTAGCCGAATGATTTTCCGATCCAGTTATTATTTCGGCATAATAGATTCAATAAAAATTGATACGTACGTATGTACGTACCAATTTTTATTGCACGGGTCTAATGTAACAACCTGTGCTTTTTTCATTTACTTCTTGGCAGGGATTGTACACCAAACACCGTGCAATAATATGGTTATGTGGGTTATAGAAAATAACTAAATTTGCAAGGTTAACTTATACCTTCGGCCATGCAACCAGTGTTTAAAATTCAACTCAAAATTGTGGGCTGTTGCGCACAAAATTTTTTTTTTAAATGTGCGCAATAAAAAACAAATAGCACAAATAAATCTATAATGTGCGCTTTGCGCACATATTTTTAATTTTAAAAAGCGTAAAGTTTTTTGATATACGCTCCGCTGAGGTGTTCGATGCACTATGTAAATCAAATATATGTTGTCACTGGCAAAACCCAATGCTCTCAAGATTCGGAACGATGCACGATTGACCTACGAATCGTTACACAAAAGACCGTTGCACTGCGACGACCCGGGACCCCACGATTATCGAACGATGATCATCTGCGACAAACCTGTTGAAGCTAGGCACTCCATTCATGTCGACCAAGCCCCATGCTCGATTAGATGACAGGTGTCAAGGTAATATTACCTTGATGGGTTAAGTGCGTGGCTGTGGTAAAAGCAATGTGCATGAGCAATGAATGAGTTAATGAATCAACAGGTAAAAAATGATGACAGTATAGAAACCTTCATTTGACTTGTTTCTTTTTTTGCCTATAGAATGTTTCAATAGTAATGGCTGTGTGCAAAGAGTAGAGAATTAAACCAGAAAAGGATCATATAGCTTCAAGTTCAATGACAGTCTACTGACAAAAGAAAGAAGAAAATATTCAATTTTGTTCTTTTCTTGCTCTATAATTTTGTTTTAAATAAGAAATCAAATTTCTCTTGTCTGAATAATTAGTATATATAATTTGTTCTTTTCAAATAAAACCATTAATCAAAATACTTTTTAAATGCAAACAAAAATACAACACTCTTTAAAATTGTACTGAATTACTTATATAATAATACTTAAGTCATGGGATTTTCCAAATTAGGAATCAGGATCTAGAAAAATCCACGTAATTTCTTATGATTTGATTGGTATATGCTTACTTTTTTTTGCTGCTTCACTGTGAATTTTTATAGTATTTGCTCAATACTAAAAAGTCTTCGAATATATAATATACAATTTCTAGTTTCAATAATCAAAATTAATTAGCCAAAATTTGCTCTATTAACCAAAGTAAATGAGACCTTAAATTAAGCAGTTGTATAGAGTTAACTACATACGTAAGAACATAATTTCACTAACTAAAATGTTTCTTTTTTTTTTTTAGTGTCTACTTATCAAAAGCTTAAAGCAGAAGATCTTAAATGTATTTTTGCAAATCTTGTTGATCATTATAAACTATTTTATTTAAAACCTTGTGAAACTAGTGAATTACAAATATAGCAGCATGCTAATAATGCAAATATAGCTAAGAACTTTTTAAACCACTGTCTTATTGGATGTACACTGTTATTATAACTTACGTAAAGTTTATAATTCCAACTATCAAGTGCATTAACAGTAATGGAATTTGTGGTTACATTATTAATTTTGGTGCATAGGTAACTCTTAAGTTAAAATGTTAACTTTTATATAGTCAATATGTCCATATTGTTACACGCACCCTAGTTAGATCATTGAGATGTGTAGAAAAAAGTATGTACAACTGTAGATTCTGAATTGATTTTATATCGTATTTTATTTTCAATCAATAAAGCTGTTCTGGTACGTATCTAATTTATTATGATTGCATATTTTGCTATGTTTTTTCCATGTAGCATGTGGGATCGCAGAGTCTGGCATGCCTAAAATAATTTGATATGCCATTCAGAAAATTGTTTGCCAGGATGCCGCTCCGGCATGTCATTATAAGTTATATATAATATATAATAATAAATTTTTTTCTAAAATACTATTAATTCTGTTTAAAATTAGGGATGTTAACAGTCCAGTCTGGTTCAGTCTGGTCCAGTTTGGTCCAGTCTGGTCTATTTTGATCCAAGTCTGGTCTGGTCTATTATGGTTTCTATTCTTAAGACTTTGTTAGTCCAGACTGGTCCAGTCTTAAGACTTAGAGCAGACCAATTTTTTTCGAGTTCAAACTGGTATTAAGACAAACTGTGGTTCATTAGTCTAAGACCAGATCACATAACATCCCTATTAACAATCATATTATATGAACTTACTAGATTTTAAGATCAAACATAGGCAGAAATTCGTTTGATGACCAATGCAAATCAATTGCCTGGGTAACTTATTTATACGTTTAAAGTACTTTTTAAGATCATAAAAGTCGTCGCAAAAGTCATATATAGCCTTGGAATCGTGTTAAACGTAACGTTTACTGTGCAAAAATAAATAAAAATAAGTCATACCCCCGATATACTTTGCTTATAAGACAAATACACCATTGTCTATTGAATTATACAAGTTACTTGATTAAAAACGGGTACCGGAGAAAGATTTTAGTATATTAAGCTATGGCTGTTTTATTACACTATATTCAAATAAGCTTTATTACTAACTGCCCAATTTTGGTATAATATGCAACGTACGTACGTACTAAAGTTTTTTTGTGTATCGATATAACTTGAAAACTATCTACAGAATTTAACCGATCACTGCTTTCTATATGAGTGGCACAGAGAAAACCAAACTTCGGGTAACTCCGAATGAAAACATATAGGATACATAATTAAATTTATTTCTGCAGTACTGCAAGTATCAGTACCATGTGTCTGATCAAGGATAAGTTCAGTAAATAAATCATAAACTTGAAAACCTAAAATCTAGTTTTCCTTTGGTGTCACTCATGTTCAAATGCCATGTGGTTATTGGAGTCAAGATCGACTCGAACAATTTAAAACCGACTAAACCGAGCTATTTAACATCCCTGATTACAAGCGTTAAATAAAGAAACATATTACTGTATTAGTATAGGCTAAATAAATAAATACATAAATAAAAGGAGTATTTTAACACTCACCGGAGGTGAAATTCGAAAACTGCAATATGAAACAGGGCCCTAAAATTCTTATGCCGGTGAATTTCACCACCGGTTAAATTTTAAATAAATTCATAAATAAAAATAGTTGTAATAAAGACAATAAATGCCGCAGCATAATTTTTCTAAAGAAAAAAAAGTCGTTACTTACGTGACATTTTACGTCATAATGTCTTCGTCCACTTTTCAACCTGACTTTGAAATAAAAAGTTAAAGAAAAAATAAATACTGTAATTTAATAAACTAAGTAAAGACTTAGTGTAGTACAAATTAGCAGTACAGAGGCTCAACAAAGGATATTTCCTATAGGGTGGCATGTGTTCTCGGCATGATTTTATGTTAAATCCAGATCATTCTTGCAATTTGATTGGTGCTTTCTCTTTTTAAAGATCTCCGTATTTGGAGTTCCGATTCTATGAAAAAAAAAGATATTAGAATACGTATTCATTTAACTTTTTTTACCTTTATATTAACAAAATTATTTTTACTAAAATTCACCTATAGTATATGTTTTTATAGACTTTCTTTCTTAATTTTTTTATAGATTTTGTATCAAAAATTTTAACACAAAATTTCTAAGTTAGGACTAATAAAGGATTAAAATTGAGTTTGAGTAGGGTTTTTTGGAGTATAGATCATTTTAACTTAAACACTTCACACCGATTAATTAGCAAATTTTTGAGATAATATAACATAGGTGGTAAAATACCATAGGTGCGGGTGTGTTTCAGTAAAATACCTGAATATTTTAACGTTAATAAGTAAAAGTTTTTAATCACTGACTCTTTTAGTAAATAATAAATTGATTTAAAGTAGGTGTCACCTATACCATATTTATTCTAAAAAAATTTTAAATTATCTTTATCGGGCTAAAATACCCAAGAAGCTAGTGACAGTCACATAATTAAAATTAATAAAATTGGTAATAATTTGGATGATCAATATGCCAAGATATACGCGCTTCTTATTAAAAAATTACCTTATCCTTTGATGGAGATGGCTGGAGCATCATTATATTACTATATATCTGATATTGTTTTGTAAACGGTAATGATACGTAGTATATACGTAAGCTTTTCGTGTTACATATAAGATGTTAAACAAATGAAACGTGATGCCCAATAATGGATTTATTATGAATGAATGGACTCACAAATTGACATCGGTGTGTAATAAACATTGTATCATCTCTCACCATAGGGAAAGGTAATATTTTTTCTTTTTCTGGATCGACCTGCCTTAAATAATTAATGTGGGCTGAACTTGGTATCAACAGCCAAATCATTTGCTCGATTCTTAAAAACAATCAAAGCTAAAATTTGAAATTTGGTATGTAGGCTAAATTAAGCGCTCCGTGAAACTCTAATTATATTTAAATCTAACTTTATAGAAAAAAAAGCTGCAGCATTGTTTCGACGTTATAAGAAGGTTTTTTCGCATGATAAAAAATTATTAACTAATTCTAATGCATTTTGATGAAATTTGTTGAAGTACTTAATGATTCAATTTTCCCTTAATATTTTTATAGATAATTCTTAATAATCTAAATTATTCAAAATTTTTCTTTAATATTCTGTAGACATTGATAATATTTGATCTTTCTTATTTAATAATTTTATTATCCCTTATCCCCTTTTTATTTATTCATCTAAATGTCTATATCCGCAGATTCTATAAAGAATAATGATGATATTTTATTTACAAATAATGATTATGTTTTCGATGAAATTCTTGAGATTGACTCTAAGCGACTTCGTGCACTTCACGAAATAGATAATGCAAATTTTCAATGGTTTCATATTAGGGCTTGTGTGGTATCTGGAGTTGGCTTTTTTGCGGACGCCTACGACTTGTTTGTCATAAATTTGGTTTCTACTATGATAGGTTATAGTTACTTTAACCATGACGGTGAAGTTCCAGCAAGTATCGATATGGGATTAAAAATGTCTGCTGCATGTGGAACTCTAGTAGGTCAACTATTTTTTGGTTGGTCTGCTGATCATTATGGACGAAAAAAAGTAAATAAGAGTTGTCTATTGTATTATCATATTTGATTATCGTTTAATCAATTGTATGGTGATAATTTTTTGTAATAGATGTATGGTTTAGAACTATCAATAATGATCGTCGCAACGGTCGGCTCTTCGATGTGTGCGGATTCATTTTCTATTACTCTTTGGGGCTCACTAATATTTTGGCGGTTTATATTAGGTTTAGGAATTGGTGGCGATTACCCTTTATCAGCTGGTGAATATTTCAGACTTTGAGCCAACTTGTAATATAGTCAGTTAATAAATATTTATAAATAATATTTTAAGTTATCACAAGCGAATTTGCAACGATAAAGAGACGGGGTGTAAGTAAAATTTTCGACACATTAATTTTGAATATTTCGATTTTAATAACCGTCATAATAAACGTCATAATACTTTGTTACTATTCATACAGGCGATGATGGCTGCCGTTTTTGCTATGCAAGGTTTTGGGATTTTATCCGCGGCTATAGTATCAGTGGTTACTTTGTCGATCTTCAAGAACGAGATAACAAGAGATTTCAGATACATTGATTATGTGTGGCGAGTAGTATTGGGATTTGGTGTGCTTCCGGCAGTTATAGCGTTATATTTTCGACTGACAATCCCTGAAACACCACGTTATACGATGGATGTATTGCATGACATCGAAAAAGCAAAAGACGACATCGATGCCCTATTAGTGAAGGATAGGTATATGGACGCTAAAAATAAACCTATTTATTTGGTAGAAGCTCCTCGCGCAACGTGGGAGGTAAGATTTATAAAGGTTCACGCATATTTCACAAATTTATTAAAGCTAATATGTAATTACATATGCATAGGATTTTAAGAATTACTTTAGTCAATGGAAAAATGGTAAACTTTTATTAGGAACCTCGATCTCGTGGTTCGTATTGGATGTTGCATTTTATGGTAAATAAAGAAATAAAATCAAAACTATTATAAAAGTTGCTTTGCTTAATAACAATTTTTTTTTGTTTTTTAATTATTTAGGCATAGGATTAAACAATGCAATAATTTTGCAAGCCATCGGTTTTGGAAATAGTTCAGACCACTTTAGTACTCTATGGAATATGTCTGTTGGCAATATTATCATCAATATGTTGGGCACGGTTCCGGGATACTGGCTTACTGTTTTTCTAGTAGACAGATGGGGACGTAAAAGCATCCAAATAATGGGATTTGCCATTCTTACTATATTATTTTTAATTATGGGATTTGCTTATGATGCTATCGTGCAACAATCTGTGGTTCTATTCGTTATATTGTTCTCGTTATGTCAAGTAAGATTGAATATTATTTGATGATAACCATATTTAATTTTAATGTTATTCAACTGACGTAATAACTTTATTAGCTATTTTTAAATTTCGGGCCTAATGCAACAACATTTATTATACCTGGAGAGATTTTCCCCACAAGATATCGTTCAACTGGACATGGGATATCAGCAGCATCAGGAAAATTTGGGGCAATCGTAGGACAAGCAGGGTTTGCACAACTTAAAGACATAGGTGGTAGACACCAGTTCGTCTCTCATTTAATTAAAATCTATGGTTTATTTATGTTTTTTGGAATTTTTTCAACGCTGTTATTACCTGAAACAAAAAATCTATCATTGGAAGAATTGTCAAACGAAAATCAAGTTGGATTTATCAAGCGAAAACATAACAACGTACAAAGATCATGTAAATTTTAGTAATAATTTGCATTTGCATTTTATACAAATAGACACATTATCTATATATATAGTCGACTCTGGATATAGCGAACGAACCTTCCTATATCAAACTCTGGATATAATGAACTCAAAATTTTAAATTTCATGATTGTTCGGTATAAAAAGTGGTTCTTAAAGAAAACATAGTAATTTCCCGTAACGAATTTGTTCTTCCAGAACCTTCAGTTCGTTGTAAAAAGAGTTGACTGTATATACATATTTAGTATATCATTTCGCATCTAAAAATAAGTGCAACGCACATGTATTATAAACATAAATGCATCGAATTTTTATTTTTGTTGTAATAAATATTGAAA